CCCAATATTTGGAAATTTTTCAAATAGGATTCTCATTGAAATAGAGTTGTTATTTTCATATTTCTTTTCTTAGATTTAAAAAGCAATTAACTAATTTGTTATCTTCAAGCGCAATAATAAAGCTAAAAAGTTATTTTATGATCACGGTGCCAGATAGTATGTGATTGTAGCTAATACATTAGGGTAATCCAACTTTATGAGGTTTTCCTAATCTTAGAGATTGTTTTTATCTCCTTTTAGTTAATGTACAATCAGTTTCTGAGAAGATCAATAAAGCCAAGAAGGAAAAGTCAGAACTTGTAGAAGAAATATACATTTGGGAACAGAAGGTATCATTGTCTTTTCAATGTTTTAATTTTTCATGGTTTCACTTTAAATAGCTCCTTCCTCCCACAATTCTGTTATTTTGCTCCTTCCTCTTCCATCTAGTGTCCTAGTTCACATGGTCTATGAACTGTCTACATTCAAAGCAAACTTCATATATGTAAAGTACTGTGGTTTTCATTTTTGTTAGGAGTTACACAGTTCAAGATAGGTTTTTCTATCACTATAATAATTCTAAATTCTGATTTTTATTACATATTTATATAGATCAATGAATCAAAGAAATGTCTTCAAGAAAGTAAGAGGCAACACAAGATTCTCTGATGAAATGCTTAAGTATAAGATAAAATCCCTTGTTTGCCTGGATTACATTCTAAAAACAGAAAAAGTCATGAATAATTGTTAATGATTTAATATGTTTTATTGAAGGATAATATCAAAAACTTTGAAGGAAGTAATAACATTTTGAATGTCATTCACACAACATGTTCCCAGTTGCAGTTTGAGAAGGATCGGTAAGTCAAAAGTCTGAACTTGATAAGAATTTGGCTGCTAAATTGTACCATGATTCAACTTGGCTTTTGAGCCTTTTTGTCCATTGGGTGAATTGAGATCTACATTTTATCTTGCTGCCCATCACAGTAAAAGTGTGGGTGTCTGGGGGTTGAACCTTCTTTTGAACAATGATCTGGAATAAAAGCACTAATACCACAATGACTTTTTATATTCACGGGAATAGGAAGTACGTCTTATTTTTACAACATAGGTAATTGTCACATCACTTGGCACTGTCCTTCAAGATATACAGAAAATAGAAAATATATGCGTGATGAAGATATCTAGACACATTGAACAGTCTGTACCCCATTTAATGCCGAACAGAGAATATTTCAATGTGAATTGGGGGTAATTTTTTTTATGTGCCACTTTAAAAATATTCCATTAAGGAGGCCATTCCATTAAGAAAAGTTCAGTTGAGCTGTTTGTCTTGAATAACTTTGCATCATCTCTACTTTCTCCTTGTCATCTACTCACTTATCCCATTATGTTTTAAGCAGGAATATCATGGGTGCCACAAAATGTTCGTGCCTCATGGTGTTTCTTTGCTCTTCATTTCTACATGTGCTCAACATTTCTCCTGTCTCCAAACTGGGCCAGCTACTTCCCCATAAAATATAGCAGTGACTGTGATATAGGCATGGTTGCCTATATTACAGACCACGCCTATATCACAGACCACTCAGTGCCTCTGTTGAAATCCTGGTACATGTTTTGTTTCTAACCCATGTGCAAAAGTTGGAAACAAAAGTCTACAAAGAACTTGAAAGATATTATTTCAATGAACACCTCAGGAATTTCACAGGTAAGTGACCCACATCTGTGACAAGACTTTCATTACATCTTAGCTATGAGAAGAACCAATATTTCATGTCTTAGAAGATTAAAATCATACGACAGCCACATGGAATTCTTCCTTTGTGGAAATTAAGTCATTAGTGAGAATATTTTGTGTCAGGTTCAAACTGGCCTTAATGAAGCTGGTGTCACGGAAGGGAAAGTGGAATCTGAAGTAGGCCAGGGACAAAAGGGAGGTATCGCCCTGTAGATCAAGAAGGAGCAGGTGGTGAAATATTACAAATTATAGAACTCAGAGACCTAAATGTAATTACTTCCTTTTCAAATTGTTAAACATTTTTACCTACAGTAAAATATTCATAACATAATAATTACCATCTTAACCATGTTTAAGTGTACAGTTGAGTTGTGTCAAGTATACTCATGTTCTACAATTATTTTCTAAATGCCTTCTCTCAAATTTGTCTTAAAGTCACAAAATGTAGATGACAGATTGAAGGATTTACAGCTGAGACCCTGGAGGTCCAGTAATTGTAACCTGGAAATTATGTTATTTGTTGGAGTCCCCATAGCATGGAAATGAGTTTGCCCTGGGTTGATGAAGAATGACTTCCTGCCTTCAGATTTCTCACCTTCTCTCCCCACCCTAACCAAGGTCTCAGGTACACTTGCATGCACACAGAGAAAATGGTTTTATCCTTTCCAGGAATGAAAAACGACCTGAAAGGCCTCTTTGCTTCACAAAGGTCTATGGAAGCAGAAGTGCAAGCTGAAATAAAAAGATGAAGATGAAAGTAGATGGTCTTTACAAAACCTACAGACAAAGAAAGACTACTGAGGAAGAGTAAGATGCCAATGTGTTCATTGACACGAATGCTGCTTTATGAACAATGTGTCAACCAAAGCAGACAGCTATAATTTCCGTTAAAATAGTTTATGCAATATTTGTGGCAAATTAAGTCTTTACAAAATTGTGCTTGTCCTTCCTGCCATGATTTCTGTAATCTGCCTA